GTGAAGATACAAAGTATATAAGTAAATACGAAATTAATATTTTTATATATAAACATTGCCTTACAATAAGATTGTTTCAGTAAGTAGTGCCGTGGATACATTAACAAACTTACGAACAATACACAATGTCTAAATGAAAAGTGTTTAAGCGACACGGAGGCTAAAAGAATTAATATAAATAAAAAAAACACTAACAAAACTAAAATATAGGCCTAAAGTCAAAAGTCAATAATCATTTATTCCAATTAGACCTTTACAGGCACTTTTGAACGTCAAACAAAATTTAAAAAAAAATAGTGTCAGTCTGTCGGTCAGTGAAGCTATTTGCTCGTTCCAAAGTGTAGATTCCGATGGAGAAGAACGAGCAAGAAACTCCATGGTTACTCTTTTTAAAATCAGTTTTACATACAGATTCCTTTTACAAACAGTTGGTTCAATTATGTGAGAACAGTGTAACACTAATATTTATTCAAATATAAAAATAAAGTAACCTTAAGGACTCTATTGAATTTATTCTAAATTTCCGCTTAACAGCTGAAGCATAGACTATACAATATATACTGAGACTATACAATATAAAGCTAATAAAGATTTCCAATTTTAGTTCAATATGTTTATTGGTGAAGAAAGTAAGAGAGAACAGATAATTAAATCTTATACATATTATGAAGAAATGTTTTAGGTAAGTGTAGGTACTTATGGTAACAATTTTTGAGAAAAAATTGAGACAACCAACTTTGTGAAAATCTGAAATCAAAATCAAAATCTGCGTGAAACAACCACAGCGTTGTGTTGCGTCGTGTGAGTGAGGTTACAGGAGGTCCAATCCTTACATATTCGCAACCGTTATCCCCAAAAGACTCGTACTCCTTTGGAGTTGGGAGTGTCCATGGGCGGCTGATTGCTTACCATCAGGTAATCTGTCTGCTAATTTGCCGACTTATCCCATAAAAAACAGCATGACGCTTTAAAACTTTCTTTGTTACCTACTTACATATAAAGATGGTTGGTGTTAGTTCCTAAATAAACCTCTTTACCTACCTAGCTACAACATAGATAAAAAAAAACAATAAATTGCTCAATCAAATTCAAAGCAAACTCACGTGTTCATCTTCAAATAATAGTTCGACAGGTTCCTTCCCGCCAAAAAATTCGCCATAATTTTGTTTAACTTCTGTCATCGCCATTTTTGTTTATTTCACAACCTTTTGCTAGTAACCAAACTGTTTTGCTACAATGTTACAAAAATACTGTAGTATTGATATATGTTTGAACGTAATCTTATGTGTATTATAGATAAAGAAATCAATTAAGCACAATAACTTACCTGTGTACTGACGACGTCTAATAAAAATAGAACGTATATTACAACACAATAATTTTGTCTCTTTTCCACGTATGTAGATTTCAGAGGAACGGAGGGAGACAGATTGAAATCAATGATTCATGTGATGAAATTGAAATATAGAACGATGATAAAAAATGACAGCTACAGATTGCGTTCCTTTGCAAGCAGTATTTTATATTAATTTTGTCCTTATCTACTACTTATTTGCAAGAAGTACATAATTATAAATAGTTTTTACATCTTCACCATATTTAATTATAAGCTTCATAAGTGAATCAGGAGCAGGACTGTACGTTTCATACTTTTGTACTTTTTCTGTCATACTTAGTCACTGGATCAAATTTTTCTTCTTTTCCAGTCCACGGTTTTGCTCATCGCTTCACGTGGGAAACCTATGAATGTAGCATTGCAAATAAGCCGGTACAACCCGGATGATATAATAGTTTCGCAGAAAACCGGCATAGAAAATACCTTTTATTACGCACGAAAAGAATAGTTGGGCAGTAGAAACAAAAATGAAAAACGGCAGATAATAAACAAAACCATTTAATATATTAAGTTATAAATACATAACTTGGGCTATATACACGCACAATAATATAATACAATGCAGATCACAGTCTTATACGGTACTCAATATATTACATGTTATTGATGGACAATGCGCAAATTATAACAAAAAAAAACTAAAAACTTATAATTTTATTGTTATCTCTATTTATATGTCTGGATAGATTTGCATTACGGCTTATTTACCTGTTTAACGAGATAACACGACTAGTTTCAAGATACGCTGGGGCCCATACTAATGAGCAGTTGCTTGAAACAAGGCGAGTTAATCCGTCAAACATTAGACATATGACTTAATATTTTTTGTGTGTTTTTCTCACTTTTTAACGTCAGAAACACAATACAAAAAGCCAACAGTTCTACTCATATGCATAAACACTCCATTTAGACATATAAATTGATCTAAGTAACAATAATTGTCGAAAGAAACTATGATGTCACCAAACTCGAGTGAAGTAAGGGTTACATTTATTCGTCGGCAAACGCGCAGACGGATTACGTGATGGTAAGCAATTAGCGTGACCATGCATATCCGAAACATCGAAGAGTTACAATTACTCTCTTGGTGGTCATGTCTCAACGTTTTAACGTTTCTCTTTGAGCTCAAGCGGAGCCATTTTGTGCCGAAGCATGACTCTTATAAGGGATCTTCAACAATTTTATGCAATTTAAAAGTATTGAAGAGTGACGGAAGGGTCTTAAATTTATGAACGCCACCAAAGAGTCTTGCTAACCCCTTTACACCGAGGGCGGAAGAAGATATGAACTTCCGCACTCATAAGAAAAAACCTGTCAAGAATGCAGATTATTTTAGGTAGAGGAGGTCAACCATTAGAGCTTCAGGATGATGGGCACAGGCATGCTTACATATAAACTTCACATGGCCATAAAAGCGCAGTAAAAACACTTATTTCAGTTAAATTTGGCGACATCATAGAAACAGAATCGTACATACCTACATACATAAATACATTTTTAAAAACTATTAGTAAATTACATATTTTGTGTGATTCAGATTAACACATATTAAATCTTCGACATTAAAAAAAGGAAAACAATTCGGTCTTATGCCCGGTTTCCGAAAGGCCGATTAATGTTAAAATCAACTAACTAGGTGTCAAATCTCTTGACAGATCATCTGATTGGTTGTTGATAATTCAGTCAACCAATCAGATAACTTGACAAGAGATTAAATAGATTTTAATAGTGATCGGCTTTTCGGAAATCGGGTGTTAGCCACATTTCCTTTGTAGCTATAAAATTAATGGAATACAATATACTTTGACCGCCATACTCAGAGACATTATGTGATTACCACTAAAAGTGTTTCTTCAGTAACTGATGTTCAGAAATGGTTGCGGTGTAAGCGCAATAATGTATCGGAGCAGGAGAAGGAACGGGATGATTTTAGTCAGTAAGAGTCTGACACTCTATCTACCCCCACCTAGGGCGACAGACATGACATCATGACCTCTCCTAGTAACGTTCCAATGACAATACGGTAGTTTCCAACTAGTCAAATTCAATACTTTTATCCAAATGTCAAAAACGATACTTTTCTATAAAATTTGTATGAAAAACTGAGTTATGTCGTCATAGTTTCTTAAAAATTATCTACAAAACATTCATCGATGAATAAAAGTACCTATAGTTATTTTTCAATATTTTATAGGTAGTATTGAAACGTCGATATAATTTATTTTTGACTTAGGAAACTAGCCAATTGCCGAAGACTTGGCAATGATGAACCATTAAATAACTCTGAGTACGACGGTCAGACAAACCAAGTATTGCATTTAGGGCTGATTTTTCAATAGTCAGATAAATGTTATCTGAGGAATAAAAATATCGCTGTCACTGTCTTATACAAACATTCTGAAGCGACAGCATCATGATTATTCCCCAGGTAACTTTTATCTAACCATTGAAAAAACAGCCCTGGTAAGTTTATGAAAGTAGTCGGAAAGCTCAAACGCACGATGTGAGTTTGAAATTATTTAAATAATATGTTTAATTTACATAGCTTATAAAATTATAATAGAAAATAATAATAATAGGAAACAACTAAATTGTGACCTAAGTTTTAAAACTAAATAATATTTAATTTTTATTGAAGAAACGTGATCATAAATATAGAATTTTGTGACAAGGCGGTGCTTCGAACTAGGAGATTCTCCTATGGGGCTATTATTACAAACATACAATCTCAATACACGTCACACCCAGATCGGGGACAACAATTCGTGGATCACACAAAGAGTTGTTCCATGCGGGAATCGAAATACAATTGCATCTTGCCTGGTGCCAAAATTAATGATTTTTCTTGCATTCTTCTTTTTTCCATCCATAACCATGACCACATTTCTCCATCAAAAAGCTTAAACTCAATCAACATTTAATTAAAATTAATGGAAGATTTAAGAAGTTAAGACTAAACAAAAATTAATTTATGACGACCATTCTTAATGATTTTTTATAAATAATCTATTATAATATACCTACAGTGTTTTAGGTTAAGCGAGAAACATAGTCAAGGACCCGATTCTGGTTCTCAAACAAGACAACTTTATCCATAAGACCAATATGGAAATCTCAAAAAAATCACTTCTCCATGCAAAAAATATAACCAGCTGTAGCGATTTGTATGGGGAAATAAATTTATTTTACATTCTTCAATATGTCTCTCGTTTAAGCTAACACCCTGTATAAGATTACCAACCAGCTAAATAAGCCATTCCAATTGACGCTATAGCCTGTTTTATATAATGTTTTCGGAGTACAATTCCATTAAATACTCAAGTACAGTACGGCCGCCGTATCTTAACGAGTGTGAAGTTAGCCGTTTGTCTGCGCAATAGATCTTTTAGGAACAAAATTGTGTACTGCGCAGCTAATCGGCTAACTTCAGACTCGCCAAGATACGTCGGCGGTATTGTAGCATCCTACAGATACTAGCGTGATGTTTTATAGCCTATAGCCTTCCTTGATAGATTGACTAACAAACACAAAAAAAATTGTTGAATTCGAACCAGTAGATTCAGAGATTATCGCGTTCAAACAAACTTTTCAGCTTTATAATATTAATAATAATAATAGTATAGATTTATTTCTGATATTTCTTAGAACCTGGTTTTAGGTTATAACATAACCTTAATTACTATTCTGTTAGAAATACGGTTTTCGCGCGAATCCTGGAAGAAATCAACTAAAAACTTTTGTGGAGGGGGAAAATCATCAAATGACTTTTCCAACCCTTGGTAAGGCGATGTAGAGTGTCGGCTATTGACTGACTAAAAACCACCCCGTTCTTTCTCCTGCAGGACCGAGGCCGCAGTATATTATTAAATAATCATTTGTCAGAGTTGGAAATTCAGGCTATCATTCGGGTTGTACATTGAATAGCTTATTAAGCTAGTTGGCGAACAAAAATTAGTTGATAATGCATTTTATAACAATAAGAATTTGACAGAAACCAGGCAGCAGTGCTTTCTGATAAACTGCGATCAGGCGAACCATGGCAGCTAGCAGTGGGCTGTCATGTTCATTATAACAAATATGGCTAATAAAAAAAAACACTGTGAACTCATGTAATTTTGTGATGTGAAAATTAGGGAATTATTTTAAGTTGAAAACAGTAATATTGTACACAAATGAATTTCACCTAAAGAAAAACCCCATGTCTGCGGGAAATGTTTTATAAAAAAAAATATGGCGTATAAAGCTTTAAGAACCGCTAAGGAGTGGAATTCTGTGTCAGAGTCTGTGTTAATCGAAGGGTATAATATAACCTGAACGTCTTAAAGGTCCGAGTGAATAGGTTGCTTATGGGTAGACGTGCACCATCGTATGTCGCATCATCACTTACCCAAATAGGACAAATGCCCATTACTAAATAAAAAATGCTTATTTTTGTACCTTTGTCTGTGTAACTGGCATATACCAGTCAGTTGGTCTTCATAAAATTGTAATAAACAAATACACTGTAGAGGCAACATAATAAAATATTGTCTTAATTAGATTTTTTTACTGACGAGTTTTAAGAATAATAAAGATAATTATGGCTAAGTAATCTTAACTTTTTCTGAGATCTGTTGCAAAATACAGTTATTTAATGCGTAGAGCTGGTACTTTTGCATTTACTCAAGCTAACCTTTCCAGTCTGGTATCCAGAGAGAGATATAGACTATTTTTTTCTCATGACTATGGTCAAAGGCGCGGGCACAAATCTAGTTGGCATTATAATAAAATGCATTACCAATTCACCTTAAATACTAAACGACACTCAGAGTCATTTAATGGTTACTTAAGTCCAATGGATACAGATAATTGTTTTCGAAAAAATATCGTTACTAAGCAACAATTTGAGGCCCGTAGTTGATTTTGAATTTTGTAAACTATCACCAATGTAATGGACTTCAAAATGAAATACGCTTCTAAAACCAAACAAAAATCTCTAGTGAGCAGACTGCCACAGAGAAAGAGGGATGGAGCTATAAAAGGTGTATAGCTCCATCCCTCTTTCTCGCCCTGAAGATCCACGCTTTAACATGTCATGGTAGGCCTACAGGTCGGCTATCAGTCACGCTGCAAATATTAGACACCGTATTGTCACGTCACACACTCCTATACCTTCATTGCACTCAACTTAGCAACAAAAAATCACAATCAGCAGGCCCTAAGTAATCATTAAATGTCTCTGAGTACGACGGAGAATTACATTACTTAAATACACTTATTATATGTACAAAATTACCTAAAATCACTTTGCTTTAAGTTTTAGTAACTTTATATATAGTTCACAAAGTTACTAAAAACCAATTAGGTACTAAATTAATGTAAAATAAGTCGACTCGACTTATAATATTGGCATTAGATAATATTATATATATTCTTTTTTAATGAAATACCACTACATTGAAGTCATATTAGCATAATAAAATATAAAAAAAGATCCCGACGTATTGAGAACCTCCTCCGTTTTTTGAAGTCGGTTAAAAATTATCATCCTAAATATTTGTAGGCACACAACTCTCGAATGGCTTCGCCAAATAGAGGTTGCGACGCTCGCGATTAAACGCGCTTTAAGCTCAGTAGATGGCACTGACATCAAGTACTGTTTGTTCAATAGACAATTTTCTAGTGTCAAGTCATGGACTCTTTTTATTACCGCGCCATCTAGTGAGTAGAGAAAAGAAACTACTCATCCTTTTTTGGCGTGTTCGACATTGTTACAAGATTTATATGTGGATAAAGAATAATTCGATAATTTATAAAGTAAGCTCGACAAAGATAAAAGGGAGGTTTTGGTAACGAAAATATGGCTTCAACGCAATGATATTTAAGTATTTTATGAGCAGTGAACTGAGTTTTTTTGTATGAGCTAAATTTATTCACACAAAAAATGGTTTGCCAGAAATAACATTCCATTCAGATGTTTTTTTTTATGATGTTCCTAAACCCTTTGACCGCCATGATCCGCATTAGCCGACAAACCTACTTAACTAGCTACTGTCGCACGGTTTCACCAGCGGCTCGGCTCCTACAGATTGTAGCGTGATGTTTAATAGCTTCAAGTCTTCTTCAATAAGTGGTCTATTAAAAACAAATATTTTTTTTTTTCAAATCGAACAAATAGTTCCTGAGTATTAGTATAAATTATGAGGAATATTCAAGTAATAGTTTATTTTTCGTATGTCGTCTACAGCCGACCATGGCGATCGAAATGTTAAATTTTCAGCTCTTACATTAAAACTTATCTTTTTCTCTATGAATAGTATAGTTAGCTCTTTTAAAATTTAAAATTCTATTCAATATAGTGTAAATATTCGAAAAGATCCCGAGTACAAATTGTATTTACACATTTTTCAATATTTAAGATAGTAGTTACACTAGTACGGCCGAAATCTGATGCTTGACAAGTCAAAGAGCTTCCCTAGAGGACAGACCGACAGACAGACACTTTTTAACTGTCTGTCTTAAATGGTCTAATTGAAATGAATGTTAAGACGTTGATGTATTGAAAATAACGAATTCTCTCACACGTAAATAAACTGTAAAGACTTTTACTTTATTTTCAATGTATTAAGAATGTTTCACGACAGTTACTATTCAAAATTACGATATGACGTTGGCTTTTGATTAATTTTAAATACACTGACACTCACAACGTCAGAGACATGCGTTATGCGTTGCATTTTAAAAAGGAATTTTGCCCGAAAAGGGCGCTCGACTAGTTTCAAGCCATTACAGGAGCCTATAAACACCAAAAGTTTAGAACTGTACGCCCAATCTCTTGAAAAGGTGACGTCGAATAGTTATGAGAACATAAGAGAAACAGCCTGCTTAGATTAATGGGGGAAGGGAGAGTGACATTGAAAGGAGCAGCCAAAATAAACTTTATCCAAATATCATTAAAGTTCTTATTACCGTATCATATTGTTGTCACCACTATGGGGGTCTAGAAATAGGGGGATTGTTCGTTAGCCCCATGAGGGGTCATATTTGGTCCATTCGAAGGTGGGGGCGAGGTAGACTCGGCGTCCTTTTATGTAACACGTCACTATACCTCTGTACGCCGTGCGAGGGACTCCACTCTGAAATGAGGAAAAGATATTATTATTATTATTTAGTACGTTCACTTCCAATCACGGGACCACAGGCATCCCACGACTATCAGAATAAGGAGATGATCATGATCAGTGATCGGAGTACGTAGATTAAAATGGGGTCATTGATCCGAAACGTATACATTAATATGGACATTCCTCCGGAATTGGTGGATTTAAAAAAAAAGCGTGTTATTCTTTCTGTGAGTATTTTTGATGCAAGTACCAAAAATCAATCTACCTACTCAGATCACTGATCAAGATACACAGAGATGCATCCTTCCACCGAGTCTCCTTTAACTCCTAGTCTTGCGACTCTCCATCCAAGCCAGCCAATTAAGGCAAGAATGAGGTAGGAGGGCTTGTTCCTCATCAGTGTTTACTCCAGTTAGTCACGAGGACTAACCAGAGATGGAGAACAAGACACCTCCCAGGAATCAAATCTGTGGGGTCACTACTGCCCAACAGCCCACCACAAGCTGCTCGGATTTATTTGTTTGTTCGATTCCATTCACGGGACCATAGGGTCCCGGACTTTTGGAAGGCGTACGAGGGGCCGAAGCCAACTCACAGAGGTCCTTTGAACAACTTTAATATAAGTGAAATGGGTTTATTATTAAAACGTACCCTAAAATCGTCCATAAGACCCAGTTTCTTGGCGGCGCGCTGGTAGGTCTTCGCGTTGCTGTACATGACGCGGACGGGATCTGAACTCAAATCCGAGCTAGCCACGACCTCACTCGCCGACATCTCGGGCAGGTTGTACACTGTCGATGCTAGAGACTCGTCGTAATGATCCTGTACAAATAATTATATAACAGTTCATTTTTACAACCAACAACAACAGTTTGCACCACGCAAATGTGTATAGTTGGTGATCACTGCTGAGGCGGATTGAGACTCAAACCGTCCGGCGAAGGTCTTAAAAGGAGCCGAGGACGATGCTTTTTAACGCACTTCTGAATAAAAAAAAAACGAGACGAGTTATCAAGACGAGTCTGAAAAATGGCGGGAAAAATTTATCAGTTTTCTTATGCGCGCGCATCGACCATAGACAAAACATTTTTTTGGCTTTTTGTGGATAGCATTTTAGAGCAAATGTAAGCGTGACTCAACCAATAATTGCCATGAGATCAGAGCCACTTTATGAGGAAATGTGTTGAAAATATTATTTATTTCAACTAGCGGCTCGCCCCTGCTTCGTCAGCAAAAAATTCAATCAATTGCTTAGCGGTTTTGACTGATTATAAACCTGGAGGCGAATCGCGTGTGGGTGGGATAACCACCATGAAACGTGAGATTTTGCTAATCATTTGGTGGTACAATGGTAGAAGGGACAAGGGGCCATCAAGTTACGAAGATTCGGACGGAAGGTCTTTTCCGAAATGTATCCGATAAAAATCCAGCTTTGCCCCTGTGATCGAAGCTAAATCAAAACGCAATTTGAGTAAAATTTTCTTGAATTTCAAATTCGCAGACAGAAAGCTAGTAAGCAGTGAAAGTGTGGGGCAGCCAGGCTTCGGCACGAATGGGTCGGCTCGACCGGAGTGATACCACGGCCTTACAGAATACCGGCGTGAAACAACCACAGCGTTGTGTTTCGCCGTATGAGTGAGGTTACCGGAGGCCCAATCCCGCACCTTCCCCTATCCCTTCCCGATCCGCAACTCCTATCCCCAAAAGGCCGGCCACGTCGTAACTCCTATGGTGTTGCGGGTGTCCATGGGCGTCGCTGATTGCTTACCATCAGGTAATCTGTCTACTGGTTTGCAGAATTATATCATAAAAAAAGAAAGGGCTTATTACCTTGAGCAAATAGGTAAGGTTGAGCTTGGTGAACTCCACGTACTCCATGTTGAGCTGAATGTTCCTGAGGTGGAGATCGAAGAAGAGACCTTTACTCACACCCACCTGGTACGACAGACAAACAGTAACGAATATTAAATTATATAAAAAATAAATAACATAAATGAACAGAAAAATATAGAATATAAATGTCATAAGTAGTCATTTGGGAGACGTCCGATTACTTTCGAGTAATACTGGAGCCCTTAGTAAGTAAGTAAGTAAGTAAGTAAGTCATTTATTTTGCAAATATGGGTACAATACATGGTGATAGAGTAAAAACAGGTAGGTTCAGCCACATTTTACCAGTAGGCATGCAAAAATTTTAATTTGAAGCTAAAAATAGGTACTGGAAATTAATACTTTATACATTGAATAATTTGACGTTATAACTTATCTTGATTAACATTTACATAATAATGTCAGAGAACAGTTACAGTTATTGTTGAAAACATAATTTAGAGTCGATCAATGTCACATAATACAAAAAAAATGTCATATAACACATTTTCAAATATGGCGTCAAAAAGTGTCAAAGTGTAAAAGAAAAAAATATATAAAAAAGTCAAACAAAATAGCAACAATAATAAAAAATATAAAACAGTTTTATATATTCAGATCACTACCTGCATATTAGGAATTTCAAAATTTTTCTCAATAAGGAATTCGCTGACAGTATAGTATGCTTTATGCGTTAGAAAACTTCGAAGCCTGTTTTTAAACAATGGTAGTGGTAATTCTTTCCATTGCTTAGGTAATTTATTATAGATTGCCGGAGCCATGCAGTAGACACTCTTCCGCATTAGTGCCGTTTTGGCTGGGTGGGAGCACAGTACATTATTATCTCGTCTGTTACGTGGAACTACATCGGCCAGACGTTTAAAACGATCTGGGTTGGACTTTACAAACACAGCTACCTCCACTATGTACAAACTAGGCAATGTTAATATTTTATGCTCTTTAAAGTATGGCATGCAACTATCAGTAGATTTTAGCTTAAACATCGCCCGTAAACACCTTTTCTGTGCTTTAAACACCGTTTCCCTTTCGGCTGAATTTCCCCAGAATATTATAGCATAACGTAAGTGGGATTCTACTATGCCATAATAAGCAGTAAGAAGTACATCTATGTCAATTATTGGGGATAATGAACGTAGAGCGAAGGCGGACTTACTAATTTTCTTACATAAGGCATCAGAATGTGCTTTCCAATTTAGATTTTTATCTATTACGAGTCCCAAAAATTTTGTACTGTCCACTTCTTCTACGACTTCATGGTTGTACTGTATATTAGGACGCGTGCTAGGAATCCGCTGACTAAAGTGTACAGCTTTTGTCTTTTTTAAATTTATTTTTAAATTGTTTGCCTCTAACCAATATACAACACTATTTAAACACTTATTAATGTCCGATTCGTATGTTACCAGATTTTTACATGGAATTGTCATAGTGCTGTCGTCTGCAAACAGTGTTAATGGGTGTTCAATACATTTAGGTAGATCATTTATGTATAGAATAAATATAAAGGGACCTAGTACACTCCCCTGCGGTACTCCATACATAACTTTACGCTCTGAAGATCGATATATCTCTTCGCGCTTGCTAACTGGATTAATTTGGCAAATTTCAGTAATTTGTTTTCGGTCTTTTAGATAACTCTCAATTAGTCTAAGTAAATTGCCTCTTATACCATAAGCTTCAAGCTTACTTGTAAGAATTGGATAATCTACGTGGTCAAAGGCCTGTGTCATGTCACAGAATATGCCACATACAGGTATTCGATTATTGACATTTTGAATAACATTATATATGAAGTCGAATATAGCCATATTAATAGTCCTATGTTGTCTAAACCCTTTCTGTTCGTCACACAGAATGTTATTCTTTTCAATAAATTTGTGTAACTGTAAATAAATGTACTTCTCAAATATTTTGGAAATCACAGGTATAAGTGCGATTGGTCGGTAATATTCCATTAATTCTCTGTTCTCTTTCTTAAATATCGGCTTTATTATTGAAGTTTTTAAGGCATCCGGGAAGATTCCTGCGCTGATACTAAGGTTAATAATATGACTTAGATGACCACATATTTCGATAGATACGCATTTAAGTATTTTCGTACTAACGCCATCATATCCTACACTATTTGTGTTACTCAAAGACATTATTATTCTATGTATTTCTACCGGTACACTAGGCGACATGAACATTGATTTAGGGCTCGTGTTAATCTTAGTGTAGTTGGACCTGGTGTCTATCTGCTTTGGTTGTATTTTATCAACGAAGTAGTTGTTGAACGCTTCAGCAATATTTTTGGGATTTGAGACAATATGATCACCAACCTTAATGTTAGAAATTATTTGTTTAGGTAAATTATGTTTAGCGCGGTTAATAATTTGCCACGTAGCTTTTGATTTGTTTATAGACAGTTTAATATTTTGATTATTTAGTGCCTTTTGTGTTAGTTGTATAATTTTTTTGTGCAATTTTGAATATTGAGAGAATTTATTTTTACTTTCTTTATTTAAATTTAACCTCATCTGCCACAAGAGCTTTCTTTTCTTTCGGCTACACAATTTAATACCTCGCGACAGCCACTTAGGTTTTTTAATAATATGAATTTTGATTAATTTAATAGGAAAACACAAATTATACAAGAGCTTGAAAGAGTCAATGAAGTTGCTATAAGCAATGTTCGGGTCGTTCGTTTCGTAAATTTCATAAAAGGAAAGGTTTTTCATGTAGTCTTTAAACTTGGCTATGTTTTCCACACTATAATCCCTTTTAGCCGCATACCAATAGTTTATTACACATTTTGTCTGAACGGGACAGTGAAAGAGCTGTGACGTATGATCGGACAAAGCGAATTCAAGCACTTCAGTTTTACAAGATTTACTAAAATTATGCGCAAAATTGTCTATGCAAGTGTTGCTTGCCATGCGGGTAGGCTGTCTTAATGCCAATTTCAAGTTATATCTCATTAACAAATATTCAAATGCATTTGTGTGGTTATTTTGTTTAAGAATGTCTATGTTAAAGTCTCCGGCAATAATAATGTTTTTGTAACGTGCTCGTGATATTTCTTGCAATACAGTTTCGAGTCTTTCCAAGCAATAGTTAAGATTATTTATATTTGGTACTCTATAAATACATACTACAGCTGTTTTATAATGCGTCAGCTCAATAGCACAGCATTCAAATATACCTGAACAAGAGAAATTAGCAATTTTAGTTAATTCCTTCCATTGCAAACCACTTCTAGTTAGAATACAAGCCCCTCCCCTTTTTCTTTCCTTTCTACAAAAATAGGCAGCTAAAGAATAGTTTGGAAGATGTAACTGATCTTGGTATCCTTCCATAATAAAATGCTCTGTGATGCACAAGACATCCACTTTTATATTTTTGTCAGTAAGTTCACCTAAACACACAGTAAGAAAATTAGATTTTGCTATTAAGCCTGCGATATTTTGATGCAGGACTTTGAGATATTTATTACAGAAAAAACAGTTCACCCACTTGATCACCATTGCATTGAGGTGGGAGTTGGGATGCCCCATTAGGTTCAAGGATTTGGATGCTGTCGCTATCAGCAGTACAAAATTGATCATAGTCAATAAATATTTTTGATCGGATCTGGGAAAAGATTTCCCTCCAGCCGTATTTGTTGATTTTTCCTGTGTTATGCGAAAACATGTCAAGATTCAGGCTATAATTGCTGTCAAAAAAGTATGCGTATTGATTGCTTTTTATGTCAAGACTGAGGAGGTTATTGAATAGCTCGACTCTGTAATTATGTATTAGTGCGCCTCGTATAAAAGTCGGTGTGCATACAACAATGTTTGTGTGGGTAATGTTTTTCAGCGAGTTATTCATGTTTTCAAGAATATAGCTATTTTTTATATCGTTTTCTCCAATGAAAATCAAGCAATAGTCTTGGATTGTAAAGTCTTTCAACTTTTCTTCGACGGTGCGTAGCAGATTTTCTGTTGCGACGTTGTGGAGCAAATAATGACAGTAGTCAAATCGATCAGAGAAGACCTCGTCGATAATCGGCAGTGTTCCCTTAGTACACATACTACTCATTATAGCCAGCTTATTTTTATGTTTTGGTATTTTTGGTCGACAAACGCCTACAGTTTTTTTTATAGCAAAATTACTCAGATATGGCGTTGATGTTGGGTTTTGGTTTTCTTTTAATGTGGTATGAGTCAACTCGAAAGTTTGTGTTTCTTTGTTCATTGTGGCTTTTTTCTGCTTGCAACAATTGGGCGAAGTCTTGGAGTCGTTATTTAAAACAATTGTTTGCATTTTACAGTGCTTGGATTTATGTGTACTAGATGATGATGGTGTGCTAATTTTTCTTCCAGGCGTTAAGCAGATCTTTTTACATGTCTCTACGGTCTTTAAAGCATTTTGTAAATCTGTTTTCAATCGGAAGTTTTCACTGTTGAGATCGTCTATTTCCTGATGAGCACTCATAAGTTGCATTTTAAGCGTATTTATTTGTTGTTTTAAGTCATTAACAAAATCGTCGTCATTATAATTATCGAGGAGGCTATCTGGTATGCTCAACATTGTGGTGTCAAGTATTGTTTTTTCGTCATTCGTCAAAACAGATAAGTTGGTCAAGGAGCCAGTGTTATGTTTGCGGAGTGTGATATTATCTGTATCCATTTTTATTTATACTATAATTCAGGAGTCTTAATTAAATAAATTACTAAAAATCGAAGGAGTAGATTTTTGATGAAATAAAATCTCACAAAAAATACTTGAGGTCCTCGGTTTCGAACTTGGATCATAGGCGAATGTCTGGTATGTGTAGCGGCTTATCCAACCGAGCTACAAGGTGACCAATAATTATTGTTGAAATTAAGTATCGTATGATAAAGATACGAAACATTTGAATTTAGCGAAGCGGTGGGTAATGTGTTTAAGTTTTTTTTTTCCACTTAACGTAGGTACATCTTTGTTCGAGTCACTAATGTAAACACTTTTATTTTAAATATGATCACTTTGAATACAGTTTGGTTGATTGTTTTGATAGCATCAGTGTTGTTGTTGTTTTTAATTGTCACTTTTGGTACAGTTTTTGGGGTTTATTCGAATAGTTATGGTTGTTATTTTAACACTTATTATTGAGGTCACTGCTGAGTTAATCACTTTGATAACGTTTACACTGATAATTTAGGTCTCTATACATATATTTTAATTGTTTTAGCAATAGAACAGGATATTAAATAATTTTTAATTTAAATGTAAACACGGAGCTTATTTATTTGGATGTCAAGCGAGACAGCGCCATCTCGCGACCTCCTTATGAAACGAATTTAGTGAGTTTTTCTTTTTTACTTTGTTTTACACCATAAAAATATAAAGTACAAACTTAAAACATTAAACATCAGGAATGATCACAAAATTTGTTGGACCCAGTGAGCAATAAAATAGAAATATTTACTTACCTTTCCAAAGGAGTATGTCCTAGATATCTCAGGCCTGATGCAGGCCTTACCATCAATGTTTACTGGGTTACGGAGCCAGTCGTCAAAGAAACTGAAAAAAAGAGATATTATAGTCATTTTTAGTCACCCTAGTTTTAAGTGTGGGAGAGTCGTGCTTCGGCATGAATAGGTCGGCTCGACCGGAGTGATACCACGGCCTCACAAAAAACCGGTGTGAAATAACTACAGGGTTGTGTTTCGCCGTGTGAGTGAGATTACCGGAGGTCTAATCCTTCCCCCCAATCCCTAAATCTCCAAATACCCTTAAATAATAAATTGCTTTTTCCATGAGTAACCCCTAATCTCTCTCTCTCTCTGTCTTTCTCTCCCCTTGCTCCCCTAAAAAAGCAGCAGCAGTACTCACGCAGCCGGCCATTTCGGAGCCAGTTTGACCCACATCTCCTTCCTGAGCACCCAGCCGAGGCCGGGGAAGAAGTCGGTGCGGTGCAGCAAGTCAGGTCGCGACATGTCTATCACTTCCATCTTCCCGTTGTCATTCCATGCTGATATGCACCTGGTGGGGACAGGAGCATAAACTCCTTCATATAAATGTAAACCGATATTTTTTATGTAGAGAAACGAAGGCGGTGTAGCTGCGATGCGCATGAATAAGAGTCCCGTTGTGACTCGAAACTAGTAGAGCTATCCTCGGTTAATCCACGTGAGACAGTCGTTATCTATACTAATATTATAAAGAGGTAAAATTTGTAAGTTTGTATGTAGGGGGTATTCTTTGGAACAACTGGTCGGATTGCCAAAATTCTTTCACTGATAGATAGCTACAATGTTCCTGAGTACTATAGGCTATAAAACAACACGCTACGATCGAATGGAGTCGAGCAGCGGGTGAAACTGCGAGAGAGTAGCTAGTTTTTATAATAACTATCGTGAGACATACTAAATTAACTAGAATTCGCGGGTTACTCACGTGTAAATGTTGAGAAAAGCTCTACTAGTTTCGAACCACAGAGGGGTTCTTCCTCATGAGCAGCGTGCGCGGACGCGGCGACGTCGCGCAGCGTATAGTAGAGCTTTTCTCAACATTTACACGTGAGTAACCCGCGAATTTTAGTTAATAGAGTAGCTAGTTTTCTATAAAGTTGGTATGTCTCACGCTAGTTATTATTCAAAAATATTATACCAACATTTTATTGTCTCAAACACGGCACAAAACAGCGCAAATCAGCCAAAACTCTTTCATTCGGACACGCAGTCTCATTTTCAGTACTTACCACAGCGATGGATCTTTGAGCAGAAGGGGATAGGTGCCAAGAAAATACTCGAAGAAGTCTGGAGATATATCAAGGTCATCTGAAAACAACAAAACACACTCAATCAGTTACGTTAGCTTTACCCAAACGAAGTTGATAGCAAATGTGAAACTGCATTAAAAAAGAGTAACCATGGAGTTTCTTGCTCGTTTTTCTCCAATGGAATCTACACTTTGGAACGAGCAAATAGCTTCACTAGGAGGACTGACGCTTTTTACTTTTAAGCTTTGTTTGATGTTCGAAAGTGTCTGTAAGGGTGAAAGTGTGCGAAAGTGTGGGAGAGCCATGCCTCGGCACGAATGGGTCGGCTTAACCGGAGTGATACCACTGCCTCACAGAAAACCGGCGTGAAACAACCACAGCGTTGTGTTTTGCCGTGTCAGTGAGGTTACCGGAGGCCCAGTCCTTCCCCTTCCCGGACCCCAATCCCTAAATCTCCAAATCCCAAATCCCAAAAAGGTCGGCAACGCATTCGTAACTTCTCCGTTGCGGGTGTCCATGGGCGGCGCTGATTGCTTACCATCAGGTAATCCGTCTGCTCGTTTGCCGACTTATTACATAAAAAAGGGCCTAAGTAAATTAAATATGTACCTACTTAAATGATTTTTGAATTTTTGACTTTGACTTTTGAATGGAGGCCTTGTGGCTTGATAAAGTTTTCAGTGCTATAAATCGGGAGCGATACACTCTAAATAACCCTTCAGCGCTTTGCTTAAATCGTGAAACCATATTGATTGGGGAAAGACAAGGTCTCCGGTAATCTCACGTTTCTTTAAAAAAGCTATGTGTTAGCACTGTTATCATTTAAGCCTTTATGTGAGGGGAAAATCATCAAAAGACTTCTCTCTCTTTCTTTCTTTTCTTTCTCGCCCAGGGTGAGGCGAGAGGGAGTGTCAGACTTTTACTAACTAAAAACCCCCGTTCCTTCTGCTTTAGGTCGAGGCCGCGGTACCATATCACGCTAGCCCACCATTATAATTTTAACGGTGCAAAAAATATTTTCCTTTACTGATAACATTAAAGTAATAAAAAGAGACTGCTCCACTGGGTATAACATAACATCATAGTTACACTTGATTCTCCACGGAGTACTTATATGTAGAAGTCAGAGCTATCAAAAAGATTACATAGGTAAGTAACCATTATACATTTTTATGTGATATATCGGCAAATGAGCAGACGGATGACCTGATGGTAAGCAATCAGCACCGCCCATGGACACCCACAACATCAAAGGAATTACGAGTGCGTTGCCGGCCTTTTGGGGATAAAGGTTGCGGATACTTAAGGATTAGGAAGGGATAGGGGAAGGGAAGGGATTAGGCCTCCGGTAGCCTCACTCACACGGCGAAACACAACGCTGTGTTTATTTCACGCCGGTTTTCCGTGAGGACTGAGGCCGTGGTATCACTCCGGTCGAGCCGACTAATTCGTGCCGAAGAATGACTCTCCCAAACTTTTACAAATTATGAGTGTTAAATACCGAACACTTTGTTAGTACCCAGTACTTAATAATTGAACTAAGTGGGTATACTAGTAGGATATTTGTTATTAGAAATAAAACAACTACTGTATACTGATCTATAGTTATGAATATATTTCTTAAAAATCATTAGACCCTAACCAAATCGTGTGAAGCAAACGCTAGCGTGATCTATTTCGACGCCAACGCCATCTAGTTGCGTTTTTGGAAACTTTCGGCAAATTACAATGTTTGGTCTTATAAATGGGCTTTCAAAATTTGATCATAAACATACCGCCCACCAAGGACATTGTTGACGGAATGTCCTTCTAAAACTGTTTAAGGGTCTGAATGAACTATTAACAATTTGACAACTTATTTGTAATCGACACATTAATATTATGGAATAATAAATCCGTAATTAGTGTACTTAAACCTATTTAAATATCTAATGCTTAAAGGTTAAAATGTTAACAAATATAAAAGGTTGTTTAGGTATTAACATAGCCCTATGATTATAGCATACACCTTACACAAAAAAAATAACACAGCTCTGTAACTATGAATTCATCTAAACAGAAATTGATAAAAAAAACGTCTTGTAAATAAACAAAGTAAATATTGTATTCATTAACCAAGGTAATAATATGTTTTTACTGTGCATTAACCTTGGTAAAATTTGATCTAAGTCTATAAATTTCATCAATCGGTCACCGGCAAAATACAAAGTTTAGAGGTTGGCCGTTTAATTACCGAATTCTTGGTGCGCAATGTGACCACACGGGTGATATTATCATCTCCGGGATGCTTATCAAGCACGCGACCCAATAACCAGCGACTTGGCGGCATGTCGTCTTCTTTAACTAGAACAATGTCGCCAATTTTAGGCTCCGGAACCTTTGAAGACCATTTATATCGGTTCATGAGATGGGACAAGTACTCTAAGGACCAGCGCTTCCAAAAGGACTGTAGCATTCTTTGAATGAATTGCCACCGTGACAAATAGCTTACATTTGTGCTCTCGTAATTATTGTCTGGTACAGTAATAATCGGTTCACCGATAAGAAAATGTCCTGGTGTTAAGGGTAACAATTCACCAGGCCCATCAACATTTAAAAGGCTCATTGGACGCGAGTTCAAACATGCTTCAACCTGATTGAGGAGTGTGCTCATTTCTTCATAGGTCAGAGTAGCTTCACCAATTACTCTTTTGAGATGGAATTTGGTTGACTTCACTCCCGCTTCCCATAGTCCGCCAAAATTTGGGCTATGCGGAGGAATGAAGTGCCACTCAGTACCGTTAGCTTCGAGTTGTTCTGCAATGGATTCCTGAAGCGAGGCCAAGTGTTTCAGCTCTCTAGAAGCTCCTACAAAAGTGGTACCATTATCGCTATAAATTTTGGCGCAGTGACCTCGTCGTGACACGAAACGACGGAAGGCAGCTAAGAAAGCTTGAGTGCTCATGTCACTTACGACTTCCAAGTGAAGAGCACGAGTGGACATACAAACAAATAAACATATGTACCCTTTATAAGATCGATGTCCACGACCCTTCGTTGTTCTAATATTGATAGGGCCAGCATAGTCAACACCACTGTGCAAAAATGGTCGCGCGGGAGTACATCGGACAGTTGGAAGAGAACCCATCATTTGACTCCTGGTGCTTGCGCGATGTTTAGTGCATGTTACACATTTATGCACATGCTGTTTAACGAGATTTCTGACTCCAATGATCCAATAGGCTGTCCTTAGAAAATTCGACATCAGCTGAGGACCCCCATGAAGCGTTTTTATGTGTGCATCTGCAACTATAAGTGTTGTCAGGTGACTAGAAGTTGGTAGTACTATAGGGTGTTTAGTTTCTTCGCTCAATTGCGCTTTTTCAATTCTACCTCGAACTCTGATGATGCCCTTTTCATCCAGGTAGGGGCAGAGTGATCTTAGCTTGCTTGTTTTTTGTTGTAAATAGCCTTTGTTTTCTAACTGTATATATTCTGTTGTAAATGTTGCCTTTTGTGTTTGTCGTATACAACATTCCAAAGCTGATGCCAATTCTGTCTTTTGTAAATATTTTTGTTTGTGTCTGTTATTTTTTAGAAATCGCCTACAATATGCGATGACTCTTAGAAGTTTCGACAAAGAAGAATATCGCTCGAAAATGAAAGGCTCAGGAACTATGGAAACGTGTGCCCTTATTGATTCCTCTAAGTCAACAGGCAACACGTTGGGCTTTTTGAAATTTATAGTTTTTTCCTTGAGAAATGACGGCCCAGAAAACCACAAATTATTATCCAACAGTGCGCTTGGTAAGATACCTCTTGAGGCACAGTCTGCTGGATTGTCCTTAGAATTGACATGAAACCACTGAGATGCTTTCATGTTGGTCAATATTTCTGAAGTACGGTTGGCTACGAACGTCTTCCATCGACTTGGATGATTGTTAAGCCATGCTAACACCACTGAGGAGTCCGTCCATGCCCAAATTTTATCCCTCGAAATGTTTAAGACATCAGACGTTTCTGTTAGAAGATTTGATAACAGAACTGCTCCACACAACTCTAAACGAGGTATGCTTACTTGTCTCACTGGAGCGACTCTGGTTTTTGCAACTAACAACGAGATGTGACCTTTGCCTGTAGCATCTGTTGCTCTTAAGTAGACTACAGCTGAATAAGCTACCTTGGACGCGTCGCTGAAGCCATGTAGCTCAAGATCATCGGTTGACTTCGTGCCGAGCCATCGAGGTATCCGAACTTGGCTAATTTGTGACAACTCATTGCGGTAAGTATTCCACTCTTTGATTAATTCAGTGCTTAAATCTTCATCCCAACTAACGCCTGCAAGCCACAATTTTTGGATGAATACTTTTGCTAGAACCACACTAGGAGCTAACCAACCTAGCGGGTCGAATAACCGAGCTATGTCTGAAATGATTGTCCTTTTAGTTATAGGTGCAGTTGTCAGCGGGGGAAGATTCACCGAGTATTGGAAGGTATCGTTGTTGCGGTTCCAGGTAAGACCTAATATTTTTATAGTATTATCTAATTTGATGTCTAATCCTTTCTCTTCCTTAAAGTCTATGTTCTTTATTTTATTATTTTGTTCTATTGTTTTGTCCTTAGTTAAACTAGTTTGATCTAATTGTTCTTTAATTTTACTTCTTTCAATTGCATCTATTCTTTTTAATATTTCCTTACTATTACTGTTCCACTTCTGTAATACAAATCCCCCTTTCTCCAATAGTCCAATCATTTGTCTATATATTTCTATGCCGTCCTCCACATTGCTGCAACCTGCCATTAAATCGTCCATATAGAACCCATTCAACACCCTGTCTGCAGCCAGTGGATACCTTTCTCCTTCATCAAGTGCGACTTGATGCAAGGTTTTGACAGCTTGATAAGGAGCAGAGGCTGTTCCAAAAGTAACCGTTACTAGCTCGTAATCTTGAATTTCTCCGTTAGGGCTGTCTCGCCAGAGTATTCGTTGGAACATTGCATCATCATCAGCTACCTTTATCTGGCGATACATCTTAATGATATCTGCGACAAGCCCTATTGGGTGCACTCTCCACCTTAACACCGTATGCCGTAAGTCGGCTTGTAAAGTCGGACCTACCATGAGGGTATCGTTTAATGATACTCCCATACTGTTTTTTTCAGATGCGTTAAATACCACACGAACCTTAGTTGTAGTTTTGTCGTCTCTAATGACTGCATGATGTGGTAGATAAACGGCTACATCCTTTTTACAATCTGTTTCGTTTACCCGTCTCATGTGTCCTAACTTTAAATATTCGTGTATTACTTCGGTGTACTTCTCCTTTAGTTCTTTGTTCTTCTCTAACCTTTTTTCCAACGCTAGAAATCTTGTTTTAGCGATGCCGCGTGAGTTTCCAGCCTTGCAAAGAGGGTTTTCATCTCGGAAGGGTAACCTGACTATGTATCTGCCATTACCATCTCTTTTAGTTGTCTGTCTGTAAAAATCTTCGCATTTCTTCTCCTCAGGTGTAAATATTCGTTTTGAACTAATGTGTTCCTCTATTTCCCAGAATCTTCTTAAAATATCGTCATCTCTGACCTGACAGTGCATAACCTTTATGGTATTTGTTACCCGGTTTATACGTTGATTACTTTCAGGAGCAGTAGCGCCCGACAATACCCACCCTAGCGTTGTACTCTGTGCAATAAGGGTACCAGAAGGACTCTTCATTAAGCCTTCCTTAATGATGCAGCTGTACACATCCGCGCCCAATAGAACATCGATTTTGTTGGGTGTCTTAAATTCTGGATCAGCTAGACACAGCTTATTTATGTCTAACCAGTCGAATGTTTCTAACTTAAGACTTCGCTCAGGTAGATAAGATGTGATCTTGTTCAACACATAAGCGCTTAGTACAAATTTGAAATTTGGGTCGACACGCGACTTGATTGTCAATTGTACCATGTACTTTGTCGTGGTTGAATTATTATCACCTAATACTGACACAAAGCCTTGAATGGGAATCTTTTTTAAACTAAGATATTGAACTGCGGCCTCGGTAATAAAACAGGCCTGCGAACCCTGGTCGAGTAAAGCTCGAACCGTCTGGTATTCACCCGTTTTGGACGAGGCTTTTATTAGAGCAGTCGCTAATAAAACCTGTCTGGGTCGTGATATCTTACCGGTAGACAAGCAAGAGACTACAGGAGTAGCACTAGTTGAAGGACTAGCACTATCAGTTGTAAGTTTGTCGTCCGGTTCTTGTGGTTTACGTATCCAACTCGGTATGGATATGTAGCAAAGAATGGTGGCGCTTTTGACACATTCTGCAACGAGTGGCCTTCTTACAATTGAAAACTGTGTGATTGCTGCCTAAACAATTAAAGCAAAATTTATGCTTTCTTACAAATTCACGTCTAGCTTCGAGTGATTGTTTAGAAAACTTTTTGCAAAAACAAAGCTTGTGATTCTCGCAACAGAATTCACATTTCATATTTTGTGCTGACGAATTTGTAGCTAGCATGGTTTTAGGCAAGTGATGGTTTGAACTGTTGGTGGACTGGTGACTTGCTACTCTTTTCGGTTCTATACACTCCAGCGCGCGGAAACGTTGTTCCAAGAACACCTTAAATTGCGAGAAGGTAGGAAAGTCATTACTAGAATCGCCACAGACGCTTAATTCCCACTGCTTACGCGTTTCAGGATCTAACTTGAATGTCGATATATGGATGACAATAACATCCCATGTGCTCACATTAATACCTAAGTTTGTCAGTGCATTCAGACAATCACTGGTAGTATCCAAAAGCTCTTTTATTGATGTCGCTGATTCAACTTGCATACGTTTTATACCAAACAGTTTTTTCAAAATACAGTTAGCGAGATACCGTTTGTTGCTGTAACGCTGGCTTAGCAGATCCCAGCACTGACTGTAGTTGGCCTCCGTAATTGGAGTGTTTCGTATCAGTTGTTCAGCTTCACCAGTAAGATGACTCTTCAAATAGTGCAGCTTCTGTACATTATCCAATGACTCATTTTTATGAATCAACGACACAAAAAGATCATGAAATGTCGTCCACTCTCCATATTTGCCAGAAAATGTTGGTATGGAAATTTTTGGTAACTTTACTAATGAATTTGACTTAGATGCACTACTAGAAGAACCATCCCTATTTTGTCCTGTTTTCCCTACATCGTTTAGTTTATTAAGCGTTGATTTCATTAAACTTTTGTAAGTTACATACGTGTCTTCGGTCTTGTCATAAATATCAACAACCATTTGTTCTATATCATCAAATTTGGAGTTCTGGTAAATTTTATTGTTGGTATCTTTAAAGGAATTCCAATCTTTTTCTAATAATTCTTGTTTAGTCTCAATATATTCGACGGTTAACCTTTCTTTGGGACACTTTTTAAAATTAACTAGCCCTTTATTTATAACATTTTGGAATCCTTTTAATACATTAATCAATCCTTCCATATTTGAGCAGATTATTAATTTTAATTATTAACAAATCAACTATGTAGGTATGTAAAAAAAAACTTATTTGGTTGTGCGTGTTAATGTGAATAAACCAAATAATGTGTAACGGCGCACACAAATCAACAATTGTAAAATCAAAGTTCTACTTTAATGCTAAATCGAAGTAAGATACAAGTTCTGTACAATGATTCAACAATATTCAAGTCCCCTTCAGTCACAAAAATTTTACAAGTGTTTTAAACTACTTACAATCTGGCGGAAATCGGGCATAGGTTCCCCGTTCCGTCGTTTTTTTCTAAACTATTCTAAGTCTTAAGCTAAACATGCACAAATAACTAAATTTCTAATAAACGTAACTTTTCTAAGTTTAAATTAAACTTAAATTTTACAAGTCTAAAATTCTTCTACAATCTTCTAAGCTAAAAACTTGGAATAATTAGAGTTCAAAATGGCTTGACTTTTAACCGCCTTGTTTAATAATAATAAATGTACTCACAATTTGCACTTCACTCACACTATACACGATGAATGCTGTATGTGGCGCCCTCTGGTGGCGACACTATGAACTAAATATGACGTCAGGCCTCTGATGTCAGTTGAACTGGATGGGTGTCGCACACCCTACGGTCACTTCAAACTCGACGATTGCGTCACTTGTTTATTTTCCGCTGCTACCGAGCTCGCCAACCGTGCTGGACAAAGCTGTCGCTGCCGATGCTAGTAGCCGGGTACCTTGCCGCAGCGATCCACTGCGAGTACCACGGGAAGACCGGACCCTAACTGGGGCCGCTAACTCAAAAACGTTGAACTATTATCCGCGCTCGATGGACCAATGTTAAATACCGAACACTTTGTTAGTACCCAGTACTTAATAATTGAACTAAGTGGGTATACTAGTAGGATATTTGTTATTAGAAATAAAACAACTACTGTATACTGATCTATAGTTATGAATATATTTCTTAAAAATCATTAGACCCTAACCAAATCGTGTGAAGCAAACGCTAGCGTGATCTATTTCGACGCCAACGCCATCTAGTTGCGTTTTTGGAAACTTTCGGCAAATTACAATGTTTGGTCTTATAAATGGGCTTTCAAAATTTGATCATAAACAATGAGAAACGATACTTTTCTGTGAATAATTTATCTGCTCAGATATATAGAAGAATTATTTTTTTTAACACACAATTAACTCGCTGTTCGTCTATTCTACTTACAGTTTACAACCAATATAGATCTCTGTCAAATATCAACTCACTAACAAAGGATATAGAGTACAATATCATGTGAACTATGTACGTTAATGATCCGACAAGGCCAAATTCAGTTTACACCGTTTATGATGTAAATGGTATTGTGATGACTGTAACATTCAATGGTCGACCATGTTGTGAGAGTTCAAATACGACATGAGATAAAATAATGCATTTGTCAAAACCAAATTCATGTTTTCTTTTTTAAAAAAAAAACGTTGCCCTGAATCCACAGATTGTTCAAATCAAATCAGAATCATTTATTCCAACTAAACCATAAATAGGTAGGTACTTTTGAAACGTCAAAATAGAATAGTAGTCTGTCAGTCTGTTCGTCAGTGAAGCTAGGTGCTCGTTCCAAATTGTAGTTTCGAATGGAGAAGAACGAGCATGTTGTTCCGGGTCTGGGCTGGGCGTGATGTGTATGTGAAATTGTATGTTTGTAAATGCATCAACGACACAGTGGGGCAACGCTTAAAAACACACACAAAATTAAAATTTTTACCTCTTTATAATACTAAGTATAGATGTAGAAACTGACCTTCAACAATGATGACGGCTTCATGTCCCAACGTCTCGAATACGTGGTTCAACGCGAACTTATAATGCCTGGCTATTTTGTAATATCCTCGAAACTTCACTTTGACTCGTGGCAGTACTATCTCCGACAAATCAGGCTGTCGGACGACCGAGATCGTGGGATCGGACGCCGTGAATGACGTGATGACTTCATAGGTCGCGTTATGGCCGCAATCCTGCAAAAAAATATACAAATATAGTCTGTGGAATGCGCTACAACAATTTTTTTTGTGAGGGGAAAATCATCAGATGACTTCTCCCGCCCAGGGTAGGGCGAGAGGGAGTGTCAGACTCTTACTGAATAAAACCCCCCCGTTCCTTGTTCTGCTTTAGGTCGAGGTCGCGGTCCTCATGGCTCGGGTTATTTACCCGATATAGGTAAATTGCGATAGGTATTTGCATCCAATTAATTCTAAGTCTAAAATTATTTAGCATAAGAGGTACTTTTTTTTGTGAGGGGAAAATCATCAAATGATTTCTCCCGCCCAGGGATAGGCGAGAGAGAGTGTCAGACTTTTACTCACTAAAAACCCCCCCGTTCCTTCTCCTGCTCTAGGCCGAGGCGGTGACTCATTACGCTTAGCCCGCAACCCCGGCTGATCATCAGCCCTATAGGGCCCATTGGCATTGGCCATTGGCTCTTTGAGGCGCGCACGGAACGCTAAGCATAATAGGTACCTAACAATTAAATTCTTAACAATGACTAATACTTTAATCGGTTCGTATTTTCAATGACTAAGATATAAATATAGAGCGAAACTGCATACCTAATCAATTTTTTACTTTAATTATTGCGATAGCTATTCTTTTCAGCACCTAGCTTCACTGACGAACAGACTCTATTCTATTCTCACGTTTCAAAAGTACCTACCTATTTATGGTTTAGTTGGAATAAATGATTTTGACTTTGATTACTTAACAAACTTTTTTCTTACTAGCTTTTGCCCGGTTCCGTTCGCGTGGAATAGTGACTTCAAAGTCAAAATCATTTATTCCAACTAAACCATAAATAGGTACTTTTGAAACGTCAAAATAGAGAAGTGGTCTGTCAGTCTGTTCGTCAGTGAAGCTAGGTGCTCATTCCAAATTGTAAATTCGAATGGAGAAGAACGAGCAAGAAACTCTATCCTGTAGATTTTTATTATAAAAACTATCCTATGTCCTTTTTCGAGTTCCAAACTATATCTTACCAAATTTCACAGAAATCTGGTATGTATAATAGTAGGTACTTGTAGATTTCACAAAAATATTGAAAATTGACTAAATTCAATACTTTTTCAAAGTGTCATAGTCGGCGTAAATTGTCTATATTCTACTAATAGGTATTATAAATGTAAAAGTTATTAACAATGTATGGATATATTTTCGTTATAACTTCACGCAAAAACGTCTGGACCGATTTCGTTGAACTGTAATACGTATGCAGACTAGCTACTCTCGCGCCGTTTCACCCGCTGCTCGGTTCCATTTGATCGTAGCGTGATGTTTTATAGCCTTTAGCACTCAGGCACATTGAAGTTATCTCTCAGTGAAATTATAATTTTGCAATCTGACCAGCGGTTCCAAAGATTACCACCTACATACAAGCTTAAAAACGTCCAAATATTACGCCTCTATAATATTAGTATAGATAGGTCATACTCTGGATGAACACATGGGCATTTTTATGAAACTAGATTATCATAATACTAGCTAGCTCTATACTAGCTAGAGACAGTGGTACATGTATCTATTACTTAAGACTATTTTCTTTCTCTGATCCGTTCAGGTGTCCATGGGCGGCGCCAATCACTTACCATCAGGTGATACGCCTGCTAGTTTGCCTCCTAAACCATAACAAAATATTCATCCCTCCACCTATCCATACTTAGAAACTTTCGCGTCTGTTATTTTAGGAGGTTTATCCATATCATTCCAATACTAAAATCCTTCACCAGGATATATATAACGTTATATATCCTGCACATTTTATGTATAAGCACCTACATACATCCGTGTAGGTTAAACTAATCTATTATTCCGCAAAAAATAATCAAAATCGATAGAGTAGTTTAGCATACTTCACGATTTGATATGTAACAAACAATAAATGATAAATATGATAAAGACTCAATGGGTGATGAATGCCTAACGATTAAGTCCGGTACGTCCATAATCTGTTTGTACCTACGTAATTAACGTAAACAATGTTTTTAAAACTTTTATACGAAAAATGTGAATAAAAATAATAGCAATATTTAGATTAAACTTCGGTACGACTGGCTGCTGTGGAACGTATTGCGAGGTCCACTCCTTTCGCGAAACAAACAATACGTCTTGCGCACGCACCTCATAAATAAGAGTTCCGTTATGATTTGAAACTAGTTGAGCATTTCTCAATCAATTCACTTGAGTAAGTCGTTATTTTCAATTAATTTAGTATGTCTCTCGATAGTAAAATTAATGTCCAAATGTCTTTGAGAATACAAAATAAAAATTATGCAAGCTTAACAGAGAAGATATCTATTTAATTAGTTCAATCAACAAAAAGGTTCAACAACCTAGGTCCAAGTCCTACTAAATATCTTTAACAAAAACCATGATCCTGTCCCTATCAAGCATCTTTTCTTACTAAGCCGAGCGCGCCGTAAATTCAGCATAAAATATATAACAAAATAGCAGTGTTACAAGTGTCTATCGTAACGCTGTTACTTCTTATCGGTATGTTCGGCCGTAAAACCGTGTATAATTGCGTCTGATAACTGTAATCACCTCACGGACACACAGATGTAGATTTGAGGCGCGCGCCTCAAAGAGTATTGGCTCTTTGACCACGTTGTCTATTTATTCACAGACGGGAATATGATAGGATGAGTGAGAATACTGAAGGCCCATACCCCCAATCTCCCCCCCCCCCCCCCCAAAGAGGTCGACTACGCCCTTGTAGTAACTCCTTTGGTATTACGAGTGTCTATGGGCGGCGTCGATTGCTTACCATCAGGTAATCCGTCTGCTCGTTTGCCGACCTATGACATAAAAAAGGTACGCAGGGGCTAATAGGAGCGCAGTAATGCGGCAAAACAACCAAATGGTTGGGTTTACCACCACAGACGGGGCCCTATAGGCAGCCCTATAGGGCCAACATGTTCATCAGCATATTCAGCCGGGGTTGCGGGGTAAGCGCAATGAGGCACCGCGACCTCGGCCGAGAGCAGGAGAAGGAACAGGGGGTTTTTTTTCCTCTCACAAAAAAAGGGTTGGGTTTCGCCGTGTGAGAGAGGTTACCGAAGCACCAACTCATCCCCAACCAATTTCAAAAAAATATTTTACTGCTGGGAAGCTGTATATGTACTCGTATACTATGTAAATACAAATAATATTACAAAGCTGAAGAGTTAGCTTGTTTGGACGCGCTCATGTCAGAAACTACTGGTTCGAATTTAAAAAATCTTTTTTTTGTTTAATAAACATTGAGAAAATACCACGATAGCTACAGGAGCCGAGCAGTGGGTGAAACCGCAACCGCGCGAGAATGGCTATTTTTGGATATTCCTTTTTCGTAGTGGTTGTTTTTGTAAGCGGAAGGTTTTTATGAAAGAAAAGGCTAGAAAAGTAGCGGGCAGAGTTGGAAAATAGGGACCCTTTCGTCATAAGCGAGATAGATGAAAACCCGTGCGAAGCAGGGACAAGATGCTAGTCTATACTTCTATACTAATATTATAAAGAGGTAAAATTTGTAAATTTGTATGTAGGGGGTAATTTTTGGAACCGCTGGTTGGATTCCTAAAATTCTCACTGATAGATAGCTACAATGATCCTGAATGCTATAAGCTAAAACATCACGCTACGACTAAATGGAGCCGAGCTGCGGATGAAACCGCGCGAAAGTAGCTAGTAGTATATAAAACGGTATAAATAAATTGTGTTTGCAATACGAAATAGGACTTTGTGTGTTAAACCTAATAGGGGGTTTTCGAACCGATCATCAAAATAATCTCTATTTTTTTTAATTGGATTGTCACCACATTCTTACGAAAGCAATGCAAAGAAAACCTACAAAAACAACGAAAATCTATACTAATAAGATTCGAGTGACAAATTCCAATTAATGTAAAGTAAAGACAACATTTTTCGCAATTGCTAGATGGCGCTTGAATCGTTTAAGATCCATTGTCGTTTATTTTCCATGCTATTTTTTATAGTTTACTAAGTTGGTTAATTTTTATAGTTTCTTAGCTCGTGAGACATAAAATTAATTAGGTTTTATGCCTTGCTCACGTACTATACACGTAAGTGACTAGGTAAGTATGGTCCACCACGTTGTTTGTCAAGCATTGCTGCGCTCTTTTTAACCCCCAACGCAAAAAGAGGGGTGTTATAAGTTTGACGTGTCCGTCTGTCTGTCTGTGGCATCATAGCTTTTAAACGAATGAACCGATTTCAATTTTTTGTATTACAGGTGTTTTACGGGCGAGTGTTCTTAGACATGTTTGATGAAAATCGATTGAGCTTTTTAAAAGTTATGGAGGGTTAAAGTGGGGAAGAAAAACCGAATGTCTGCAAATATGCTCAAGTGGGGTATCAAATGAAAGGTTATGACTTGTACATACGTCACAAAAAACAAAAACTTTAATAAGTTTGACGCGTCTGTCTGTGTGTCTGTGGCATCATAGCTCCTGAACGGATGAAACGATTTCAATTAAGTTTTTTTTTGTATTATATACTTTTTAAATGTAGCTTATGTTTTTTGTGTCGGGGTTTTTTTTATTTATTTCTTTATTAGCCCTTAATGTACCTTTTTTTCTAAGTCATAGGTCGGCAAACGAGTCGAAACGAGCAGACGGATTACCTGATGGTAAGCAATCGGCGGCGCCCATAGACACTCGTAATACCAAAGGACTTACTATAAGTGTGTTGCCGGCCTCTTGGTGGTTGTAAGGGATTTACGTATAGAGGATTTGAGGATAGGCGATAGCGGAGGGGGGGGAGGGAATTGGGGGATTGGACCTCCAGTAACCTCAGTTACACGGCGAAACACAAAGTATTGATTCAGGCCGGTTTTCTGTTAGGCCGTGGTGTCACTTACCGAGCCGACCCATTTGTGCCGACCGAAGCATGGCTCTCCAACACTTCCTATCTTTATCTTGAAATAAGTCACTTGTCATCACGTCGGGGTCACCAGTTTAGAGGTATGAGAGAACAGGGTGGAAAGCTCCTCATCCTCCTTTGAAAAGGGAGGATCCTCCGACCAGAGGGGTATTATGTCTGAGGGGCTACTGCCCGAATGTTGTTATCGGGATTTTTGTATCGGTGCTAATTGTGTAGAGAATTCTTATACCGCGATGTAGAATCTTGCACGTGATTGGTGCTGTTATTGTTGTTGTGCGATAGATGTCGCTACATAATTTCTTTATGTCGGCACGTCAGTTACTACGCAAAACAAATTAAAGTACTTTAAGATATCCCACTTACCTGGCTAACAATAATTGGGAAGGTTTCTTTACTGGGTCTGAATTTGACGAGATTATCCAGACACCTTTGTACTGTCACCCTGTCGCAGGCTATCACTAGAACCGGCAGGATTGGTTGAGTAAGATCTGAAATTAAGAATAAAACACTCAGAAACATCATCATTCGAATATCCCCTGCGGAACATAGCCTTCCCCCAATGGCTTCGAGATCGGCTGGTTGGGAGCGACCTGCATCCAGTGGCTTTCTGTAACCTTTATCAGGTTTTTTGGAGAGGAGAAGTGCGTCATGTCTTGGTGGGATGGGACAAGTGGCAGGCTCTTACTGACTAAAAACCGTCGTTCTCCTGCTCCAAACCTTGGCGCGGTACCTCATTGCGCTTGCCCCGCAACCCCGGCTGAACATCAGCCCTGTAGGGCCTCGTCTGTGGTGGTCTATTTGGGTCTTTGAGGCGCGCGCGAAATGCGACGCGTTATACCCTCGGTTCTGGTTCTGGTCGGGCGGCAAATTGTGTATATTTACTTATCTAACCGAGCGACTTTTGTAGGTCATTTATAAATTGATTTTCCTGTTCCTCAAAGAAAATAACGTTACTACACGTACGGTAATATTGTTTTTATTTAAATAGAAACATTATTTTCATCACATTATTCTTATTATTAATTTATTTAGCCTTCTTCGATAAATGGACTAACAAACACAAAAAGAATTGTTCATTTCAAACCAGCAGTTCCGGGGATTAGCGCGTTCAAACAAACTCTACAGCTTTATAATACTACTAGTATAGATACAAATTTAATATTTGTACCTAATTGTTATCACACATGGTTCGCCAGATGTCGACAGATGATGGTTTATCTCAGTATCACAAGTTTTATCGCCAATATTGTGTGACCTATTCAATGTTGGGCAGAATTTAAGGCCGTATACTCTACGAATTAGAGTACATTTTCATAGTTAGCAAGTTATGCACTTAATTTAATATAATAATTAATTGCTATTTTTATCTGCGGTGCGTCGATTACCTTCGTGTTTATTTTTATAATACATATGACGCGACGAGTTTTTTAGTTTTCTAGACTATAGATAGTCTTTTTAGACTATACAGTACTTACCTAAAATAAATCATACTTTTATTCATAGGTTTGACTTTGATTTTTGTTTTTTTCTGGCAAAGTTTTCTGAAGTATGACATTTGACGTCAAAACATTATGACGTCAATGTTGCGAGTTCATACAAAATTCTTAGAAAATATCGTTTTTGACATTTCGAAAAAAGTATTGAATTTGACTACATATTTGGAAACTACATATACCGGATTAGCCATTCTAATCATTACTAAAAATAGTTGGACTGCTGAAGGCACCAGTTGTTTGCCACCATCCTGCAGAACGGCCAGTAGGGCTAGATAAAACCAGTAGAACTTTTAAACAGATTCCTGGATGGAAAGCCAGTGTGTGATGTGTTCTCGAACGAAATAAGACTATTTTTGTATGAATGCTTGAAGTTTTGCAAGAGAGATGAGTAGTGTATACAGCAACAATATTAATGTTTTCGTTCAGTTATGTCAGTAGTGTCTTAATGAACTTAGAAAGTACATAATATGATTCGGAAAAAGTCACATAGGTACCTGTGGATTCTTCACCCTCATGTATGAAAAGCAGGCGCCTTAACCCTCGTGTAACGACGACCCGAGTTTGCTATCATTGTTAATGAATTCCCAAAGCATTTTTCAACATTTCGCGCATAGTTTGGCAACACTATGCGTTCGTTCATAACATAAAACCTTTGTTGACAAAACTTTTCAGAAGGATACTTTGTTACAGCAAGTATTTGTAAATATTATGTATCTTTTGTGAGACGAAACATTTTGACCAATGTGTTTTACGAATGATTTTCTATATGAATGGGATCAGACCATTTTAAGTGTGGGAGAGCCAAGCTTCGGCACGAATGGGTCGGCTCGACCGGTGATACGACGGCCTCACAAAAACCGGCGTGAAACAACCACAGCGTTGTGTTTCGCCGTGTGAGTGAGGTTACCCTCCCCTCATCCCTTCCTAGTCCTAAAATAACCGAAACCCTTATCCGTAAAAGGTCGGCAACGCACTCGTAACTCCTCCGTTGCGGGTGTCCATGGGCGGCGCTGATTGCTTACCATCAGGTAATCCGTCTGCTCGGTTGCCGACCTATGACATTAAAAAAAAAAAAAAGAATATCTACCGCACAGACTTGCCGCGTTAGTCGAGTTGCCGCAAAATTAACTGTCGAGTCTTTAGCGACCACTAGACTAACCGAAGTCTTATATTGGGTAGTTTCCTAAGATTCATCGATCTGTCGAAACATTAAATATCGATATATTTTAGCTAATTATAAAAAATAATTAAGCTATGAGACGCTAAAACACTATGACGTCATAATGTTGAGTTTCGAACAAATTAAAGAGCATAAAGTATCGTTTTTGACATTTAGATAAAAGTATGGAATTTGACTAGTTGGAAACTATTACGTATTAGATTGTAATTAAATATGAAAGGCATCTCCAGCTCAGTCAATCGGAGTAGAACAGTTGGCTAACCCGATATTACTTTAGGTATTGTTCATTTAAGTAAACTAAGTATTTACTTAAATGAAAATAAAACTGCACAATAACAAAATAGTAGGCAGTGCACAAACAATACTAAAACAGATGCACTACAATGTGACCTACAATTTATTTATATTCATAAACCATAGAGTACACAAATGGTTGCAACACCTGACTTAACACGAGTGCATTGACATCTTGTTTGCTCATACATTTATCACAATACCTAGAGTTACGGTCATTCGTAACGGAACTAATTTGTGTAACCTCTTTACATTGACAATATTTATTTTTATAAAAAATAGAAAAGATTTATGATTAAGAAAAAAAAAATTATATCTGTGATCTGTTGACATAAAAATATTTTTGGCATTAAAAAATCTAATCTAAACAGATTATAGAAAGATGGAATTAGCAAGCACCCCTTGCTCATTCCATCATATGTAAACAGCAGGACCGATTTGTATAAGTTTTTTTTTGTTACTTTATATGATCTTTTAATCAAGGAGAAGAAAAATCATAGAGGAGGAGAAAAATAAGAAAGTGAATCATAGAAGGAGAAGGTTTTGATCTAATAAATAAAAAAAATGGAAGAATTTACCAATACAAAGCAGAGGCAGTCAGCTGATAGAATGTTTAGATAATATCTATAATTTTTATGTAATAGATCGGCTAACAAGGAGACGGATTACCTGATGGTAAGTAATTAGCGCCGCCCATGTACACCCGCAACGACGGAGTTACGAGTGTGTTGCCGACCTTTATGGGATTAGGGATTTGGAGATTTAGGGATTGAGGTGGTATTGGGGGTGGTGAAGGATCGGGCCTCCGGTAACCTCACTCACATGGCGAAACACAACGCTGTGGTTGTTTCACACCGGTTTTCTGTGAGGCCGTGGTATCGCTCCGGATGGCATGTATGCATGTATGAAATGGCAGGATGTTGTTTTAATGACATAAATGAATTGATGATGCCTTAGGGGCGCTATGGAGCACTTAATCACTAAATCACTAACTTAAACAGAAGCTTCAAAAAAATTATCGAATAAAATAAATTCCGAAAATTTTACTAAGTAAAACATTTTTTTTAATTAAAATTATTTTAATTTGCTTTGCTGCTCATAGTGCCCTTTTCAGCATTTATACTCCATCTCCTACATTCTGTCCCTAAGACTACCTACTGACAAAAAAAATAAAGAATAGGGATGACATCATTTATTTATTGAAATTCAGTACTTTTTATAAAATATCAAAAACAATATGTCGTGGTATCCCTATGAATTTTGCTCAACTGATGAGATTACCAACTCAACTGTGACTAAACTTCATACTAATTTTTCATAAATAAGTTAAAAATTTATTAAATTATTTGAAGGCAGCTACTTCAGTACATTTATTTGCAGAAACAATTTATTTTGGACTGAGTGATTTCTTTTGTTAGTTTTTTTATTGAAGCTGGTAAAATCAGACCTGTAATAGTAGAATCTAAATAAAAGTTATAGACTACAGTTATGTGTGCTGAGTATGGAGTTTTTACCTAGCCACAATGTTTGAAAACTGTAAGCCTTTGCCTGAAATCACAGAAAGTAAACTAAACTGTGTCTTAATTGTTTGTTTTAATTACTTTTACTGTTGCAAACAGTAAAAATAATTAAAAACACAAGACACAGTTTCTAATTTCCTACTGCAGACAGAACTGTTTCCAGTAAGAAATTAAAAAAAATATTCTAGGCACATGCTGTAGGTACCTTTGTACCTCACATTGTGTTAAAATAATTAATGTTTTGTGTGCAATAAATAAATAAAATAGAGATAAGCAAATATACAAGGTAGCAGTCTCTTAACACTAGTTATGTCATGAAGTATCTTGAAATTGGTCTGATCCTTTAGCCAAGTTTATAAATCATAAATTATTTATTTCTTTGCAATTTTCATGAAGGTCCAATTTAATAAAAGTAAAACCTACATTATAGTTTAAAGAACATTTTTTTTTAATTTATTAACATTTGAGTTTGAATTTAGAACAGTGTTTAATAAACTGAATAAAACCTTTTACAAAACGCACCCGCCACATCTACAGTTTAATTATAAAAAAATAAAAATGGAACTTACGCTGCACTACTTCTGCATCTTTAAGATTTTCATCTTCACCTCCAGTATTTTCACCTTCTGATATTCGTTTTAATTTCTTTACTTTTGCTAAAAGGCTTTTACTTTCAGCCATCTGTGCATCAACTTGCTTTTGGAGCTTTATTATCTTATTTTCTATTTCTACAGTAGGATCTCTTTGTGGAGCAGGTCTTGGTACTTCTATCACAGAAGCATATGATATTAATAGCCATAAGAACACCACACAGCCCACAAATATGAGGGCTTTCTTAACATTAAGACGCATCTTGAATATACGTTTTACTAGCGTTTTTCTAATAAACTAAACGTCATGAACTGTTTATCTCGTCCATATTCCTGGTAAATTTGTTCTTGCTAAGCATTGAACGCGAAAGTAAACAAAAAACATTACTAAATTCGTAATAGTGTACCACAGAATATCCAGTTCGAAATCTTAACACAACATTCACGTCTTACACATAGTTACAACGAAACAAATTTTGTTGTACGCATTAACACTTATAGTTCAGATGCGGCGAGTAGTTTTCAATTTGATAATTGAAAAATTACGATATTTTTCCATTTAAAAACCACAACAAACACCGCTCGAACGTGTGTACACGTCAAAAAACAAATGACGGCTGACAGCAGTGTGACCAGCCACTTTTGGTTTTTAATACCGAGATATGGTAGAAATTAATACGTACATGTTTTTAGTTTTGTACTTTCGGTAATTTTTTTTATTCACTTTACACCACAACTTTGTGTAAATGTTTTGAACGTCACACGTATTAAATATTTTTCCAATTCTAACAGTTCTAGAAAATAATAGGTATATTAATTTATTAAAATATTTTAATTAACCTGTTCATTTGCATATGTATACCCTTAAATCCCCTTCAAACTATAAATTGTCAACATTGCCGACCATGGACACCTGTTACACCAGAGGAGTAAAAGTGCGCTGCCGGCGTTGAGGATTAGAGTAGAGAGGAGATTTAGGGATTGAGAAGGGATGTGAAAGGTACAGGATTAGGCTAACGGTAACCTCACGGAACACAACGGTTAGTTGTCAGTTTTCTGTGAGGCTGTGGTATCAACCCGGTCGAGCTAACCAATTCGTAGCGAAGAACGGCTCTCCCACATCTTCACATAAAAAAGAAATAGTTACACAAAATAAAAATTATTTACTCACACATTTTTAGAATATTCTCCGCTGCATCTGATAAGCGTTTGACTCTGGGTACATCATTATAGAAAAAAATCATTAAAATTATATACAGAGAAAATATCAATGACAAAACACAAAACACTCGAAGTGAAGAACATCCTGAACATCGACTACAAAAATAAAACACTCCCAATGGTTTACCCATCTCGATCCCAGTTCAACACTTTCTTATATTCCAATAACCACAAAAAAAGTCTTAAGGAATTAAAAAGATTAAGGAAACATTAATTACGGCTTCTTGCACAAATCATATTTTTTAAACATTTTTTGCTGATTTTAGTTGTAAGTTTAGGTTGAAAACTCACAATTTACTAGCTAATAATGAGTGAATGTTTCGAACTCACAATTTACTAGCTAATAGTAAATGAATGTTTCTCAAAACCAAAAATAATATGTTTAAGCAGTACTGCTCGAACTATGAATGTTATCAATAATCTTTAACAAGCAATAAATAATACAATCAAAATTGTAACTTAATGTGTAACCCTGTAACCACGTTATCGTGGAATTGCAGTTATAAGATTTATAAGTGGTTAAAATGAACAAGGACATGCCTACTTATTAGCTCAAGTACCATACATATTATTTGCATTTTTCATATAATAATCATCAATTCATCTGTTAATTTGTGACTGCTTCATATTCCATACTTAAAAGTAATGTCATTCTCAGTAATAAATTAGTCGTCGTCGTCGTCGAAGTCGTTGTCCATGGATTGGGGATCGTGACCATCATTAGTCTCTATCAGCATTGAAGATGGGCCGGGATAATCATAAGTTAGGTCAATCAAAAATGGTCGTAAGCATTTTTTATGGAATAGGTAGCAAACAAGCAGACGGATCACCTGATGTTAAGTGATCAGCGTCGCCCATAGACACCTGCAACACCAAAGGAGTTACGAGTGCGTTGCCGGCCTTTTAGGGATAAGGGTTTTGAATATTTAAGGATTGGAAACGGATAGGCAGGGGGGAGGTATTGGGCCTCTGATAACCTCGTTCATACGGCGGAACACAATGCTGTGGTTGTTTCACGCCGGTTTTTTGAGAGGCTGTGGTTTCACTCAGCCGTACCATTCATGCCGAACCTTGGCTCTGCCACACATCAGTCATAAGTAAGATCAATAAAAATGGAAGCAAATGTGACTGCCAGATTTTTCCGACCTTGGAATTGTCCTTAATACACGAAGCAATAAGCTTATAATTACAATATGCGCGCCTCTGTCTACCACCTCGGAAATTGAAAGACGTGACGTTTCGAACTTTTAAAATAACCGAACTAAATATTTGTCCATATGGTCAGTTGCCAAATATTTATTGATCAATGAAGATCTATGTCGTGTGCCAAAGCGATTGTCATGAGGCTATGCGTTGACAGAATGGCTAATTACTTAGTTGCAACAGACCATTGGTTGAAGTATGTATGTGATTAATAATACCAAAGTTCATCAATAAACGTTTTAAACTGGGACAAAATTATTCAACACGACGTATTACTTAACAGTATGGCAATGGTGCCGAAATAAAACTGAAAGTACATACATACGTATAGCATCCAATTAGGATTGCAATTTTGTACTGCAGCCCGGCCCGAAGCAGAGGCTCGAGCAAATAACGGGAAGTTTTTTAGTCGGTGAGGACGAGATAAGTCATAAGAAAACTATCCTCATGGAAAAAATACATAGGTACAAGTTACTTCCCAGGATTCGAAATTCGAACCCGCGCCGCAGTTGGCCAGTACTTACTACAAAATATTGAAAACGCTATACTGTGTCTTAATTCTCTAGCGACCATAATTTCGATGATGGTAATGATTATTATCAGCAACAGAGGTAGGGGTTTCTTCTAAGAAAGAATGCAAAGATTCACATGTCTTTGTGTGAAGGTGTATGTCTTTTTCTGTCAAATATTTTGTGTGACATTAAGGAATACCATAAATTCCTTCAATCCATACAAAAACTGTCTTTATAGGTTCCGCACAGTTCCGCGTCATAAATATTTGACAGTTTAGATTTTTTTTGCACGAAAATAATTGCTGTTGCCATAAACAAAAATTCGGGTTATTTTAGCAGAAGTATATCACGCTTCTTAATTACACAGGATGTGTTGAGTTTCAGTTCAAAAGGTTACCTGCTAATAAACTTAAACTGTCTTGTAGTTGCAATCAAACTGAGAAAAAGACTTCTAATTCCAGACAAAATCAATAAATCAACATCATTCAATCTTACAACTATTTCACGTTACGAACAGTTTAGTCCCATTTAACAAAAAAAACTTTGTAAACTCCTGCTGAGACATTAGTCAACCGAAGATTACTTACAGGACTATTTTAAGTAGGCTTATATAATAAAATCGTATATATCTCGATATTAGGATGATTAATTTAAGTAAAAACAAAGTAACTGTACAATAGGCTGATAGCTATGCGACCGTCGGCTATGCAATTTATCTTGAGTTAAGTTATTTTTTCGGAACGATTTTTTTTATTGCATGCATAGGTATTGTATTTTTGTTTCGGGCTAATTAGGTACGTACTGAAAAAAAAACATGGTCCGAGTGAAATTTAAAACACTTAAATATAACAGATTGAGGAAACTTTAATATCTATAACGAAGGCTAGAAAGAGCCATGCTCAATAAATTCTAAACCATAAAATCAAACAAATCCAGATCAATTAAAAACAATATTAGCACCAATTACTCTAAACATTTCCTAAATAAACTAATTAAGCGGTAACTACGTTCATCCGTACACGTGTTTATTGATGGACGATGCCAACGTCGACTCCTGCTCGTTTGCAACATAAAAAGTCTGACACAGAAGTATCAGCCTTAAGTGCTTATTAAAATAAAAGGATAAATATTGAAAATCAACGGTTTTTTTAAATACAACCTTTGCGATAAAAAATATAGCAGAAGAACTTTACTAGACCTTATGCTACTTAAAAAGCAAAAAGTCCGCAATTACTTTTTTATGGAGAAGGAAGCAAACGACTAGACGGACCACCTGATAGTAAGTGATCAGCGCCGCCCAACAACACCTGCAATACTAGAAGAGCCACAGTTGCGTTGTCGGCCTTACTGATTAAATTAATAAAACTTTATGGTTCTAATTATCAAAAAATCTTGAACCTAAAATAGTTATACAGCTAAATTACAATTGAATGGCTTTCATTTCTGGTCATTCACAACTTATCAATACGAAATGAAACTTCTGACATAATCTTAACATAACTGCGCAAGCGCATGCTGTAGCAATTTAGATCGTTTAAATGTTGGGATCGCATACCACAGTCAAATATGCGGAAACGAAACAGTGTGGAGTTGTCGAAAACTAATTCACGGTTTGGAGAACCGTTGAGAAAATAAATTTATGAATAAATGTAAGACATAGAAGAAATAAATAATTGAATAAAAAATCTCCCCAAATATTTTAAAATAAAATAAATTCTTACATAATATTTCACTGCCGATGTGCCTTCATCTAGTTTTTATATATAATTTTGACGTGTAAAAGTGCCGTTTTATGGCCTATTTTCAAAAACAATGAATTTGTCATTGTTTCATTTTTTTCATTGTTTCATTACTCTCAAAATCACAATCACAAACAATTCCTGACAATTAATAAGTCTTGACAAAATAAACGAATACGCCTTTTAATTTTATAGATAGGAACTTCAACAAACATATTTCTGTACAAAATAAAATTAAAATGTACGGAACCACTGAACAGAAAGCCTTTTTTTTGGAGTAACACCATCCATCATTTTGGTAGAAAAAATTAAGAAAAAAACAACGGTAAGCGCCACCGACCTTATTCAGCCTAATTATGACAATATACGTCGGAGTTTTGAAAAGGAGACGGGAACGAAATTTTTTGTCTGTTTATTTATTGCTTTTATTATGGTTTACATTTGTTTTGTGATATTAGTTTGTATTATAGAAAACTAGCTTTTACTCGCCGTTTTGCCTGCATGAATGTAGGTAAGACCTTTTCCGCACTACTTGACCTGATTTCAAAATAAAAAAATTATACTAAATACCTAAGTAGATAGATCGTAGCGTAAGAGGTACGCATAAAAAAAAATATTTTTTTCGCTACTATAATATTCATTGTTTATTCTTTCCATTTACGGGACCACAGGGCGCCGGACCTTTGAAGGGAAGGCCGAAGCCAACCCGCAGAGGCCCGTTGAACAACTTTAATATAAGTGAAATGGGACATCAGCCGGCAATTATCCCTGTATGCACAATGAAAGTGCACCCAAGGACAATCCCCGGTTGATGCAGGACTATTGCAAAATGTGGTAATAATTGAGATGTTTGCCTTAACGGTGCGTCAGTGGGTGTCTAAATAATCATAGAAAGTACTTACATTCAAATAACTCGGAAAGAGTCCTCCTTTTTTTTTTTTTT